GCATCTGACTGATCCCCTCCATAATGACTGACTTCTACTGCATATCCTCTGATAATGAAAGCAACCGTGGCAGTTATTCACTGTCAAGAAGTTCTGGATTCTTCTGGAGTTGCAGCTTGTAATTTATTTCTGTCTCAGTCTTGGACTCATGTAAGGACACCACATGCTCTTTTCCCAGTGGACTTTTCCAACAACTCCCCCAAAGCAGAAGTCATGCTTGGTGCACTGGGAGCAGACAGGAAACACACCTCCTAGGGTGACAATCTTACCACTTAACCCTGGCTTATCTAAACACATCCTGTAGACCAGGCTGGTCTCAACCTCACAGAGCTCCTCCTGCCCCTGCCTCTCATGTGCTGGGATTAAAGGAATGTGTCACCACACCTAGTGGCCTTAATTTTTTTAAAAAGCTAGTTAAAAAGGATTTTAAGTATTCTTCACATAAATAACCAACAACATCAAGGTATTTAATCTTATTTAGTCATTGTACAGTGCATACATAGATCAAAACACAGCAATCCATGAACAAGCTTTTATTATGTAAATTATGCAAAATTATTATGTAAATTATGCTTTTATTTTGAAGATGGAAAGTATTTTAGGGGGTTGAAAAGATGGCTCAGCAGTTAAGGCTCTTGTTGCTTTTCAGAGGACCTGGGGTCAATTCTCAGCCCCATGTGGTAGCTCACAATTGTCTCTAACTCTGGATCCAGGAGACCTGGTGCCTTCTGTGGGTGTCCTCAAGCACCAGGCATGAACATGGTGCACAGACACACAAGCAGACAAAACGCTCATTAAAAATAATCAAATCTAAAAGAAAGCCTTGAAAAGGACTCTGATATTTTACTTCCTACAGCGTGGCTCTTGGGCTGTTGGCAGCTGTTTTCTGCTCCAGGGAGCAGAGCCTTGTGTTCCCCATGTCTGGGGAGGGGAACTACCAATGGCTGTAGAGTTTTAAATGGTTACTGTGGGAAATGACCTGAACAGACTCGTGCTGCACAGCCCACCTCACAGCCCTTAAGCACGCTGCTTTGCCACCACCCTTCTGTGATGCATGGCTGGACTCTGCTGCTGCCATGCAGCGGGCTCTGCACTTGAGGGGAGATGCCTTCCCCCTTCACGTGCTGTCTGGTCTGCTTTCCTAAAGCTGTTCCTCAGAACGTGAGTCAGAGGGAGACCTCTCCTCTGGAACATTCTGTATGGGAACTGTTCCTTGGCTGTTTGATAGAATTCCTGGCAAAGCCATCTGCTCCTGGCATTTTGTGTCACATTGAGCAGAGCAGCATTTAAGCCATGCATGCCATTTCTTCACTATTTTAAAATCTGTTTTGATTCAATCATTAAAGTTTGTCAACTTCCTTTCTCAGAGGTAATTATATTTTTTAAGAGTTTCCTTGTTGTTGCTGTGTTATTTCTCTCTGTCTCCCTTACCTCTCTCTCCTTCCCGACCCTCTCTTTTTCTGGATTTTTTTTCCTTTATATTTTGAGACAGGATCTCAATTTGTAGACTAGGCTAGCCTCAAATTCAATCCTGCTCAGCCTTTGAAGTGTTAGATTTAGAACTATGAACCATTACATCCAGTTGTAGATGAAGTTTCTGTTCTGCTGTTCAGTCCCAAAGAAACACACAGAGACTTATAGTAATTATAAACTGTTTAGCCTGTTAGCTCAGGCTTATTGCTAACTAGCTCTTACAACTTAAATTAACCCATAATTCTTGTCTATGTTTACCCATGTGACTTGGTACCTTTTCTCAGTGCAGCATTTTCATCTTTCTTTATCTGCATCTGGGTTCCTCTTCCCAGGATTCTCCTCGTCTGGTCACCCCACCTATACTTCCTGCATGTCTACTGGCCAATCAGCATTTTATTAAACCAATAAAAGTGACAAATCTTTACAGAGTACAAGAGCGTTATCTCACAGTACTTCCCCTTTTTATCTTTTCAAATGTAGTGGCATTTCATTTGTATTTTAATAAATAAAGACTGCCTGAAGATCAGAGAATAAAACAGTCCCACTGGTCAGCCTTACAGACCAGGCAGTGGTAACACACACCTTTAATCCCAGTAACCACACTAGTTGCCTTAGAAACTGGGCTGTAGTGATGCTCACCTTTAATCCCAGAACTAGGGAGGATTATAAGACAGGAGAAGACACATCTCAGACACAGTCTCATTCTGAAATTCCTGGAGGCAGGATCGCTATTTCGGACTGAGGTAGATGCAAGAGCCAGTGACTGGCTGCTTTGCTTTTCTGACCTTCAGGTTGGATCCCAATTTCTGTCTGAATTTTTATTAATTGTGCTTCACCCAAGTTAATATTTTCCACTTTTTACTATTTGTTTTCTAAGACAAGGACTCTAGCCCAGGCCAGCCTCCAACTCTCTCTCTAGTCAAGGATGACCCTGAACGCCTGAGCCTCTATATTTTCCTCCTCTATTTTCTGTATCACAGGCCTGTGCTGCAGCCTTCCAGTATTAACAGTTCTGTGCCATCTTCATCCTCAGTGCAACTTACCTGCATCTTCTTGACTGCTCCAATTCCTGCCCTGCCTGCACTTTTTTTAAGCTATGTATATGAGTGCTTTGTCTGCATGTATGTACATGCGACATATTGGTAGTGCCCTTGTAGGCCTGACAATTGAAGTTACAGATGGCCATGAGCTCCCAGGAGGGTGCTGGAGATTGAACCTGGGTTCTCTGAAAGAATAGTTAGTGCTCTAACAGTCTCTCTGGCCCCTAAGCTGGTCTACTTTTTAAGGCTTCATGAAACTGAGTAGACTTGTCAGTCCCTTAAATACTATTTAATAGTGTGTATCTTTATTCAGATCAAAAAGCTTTTGTGTTTGCTGCTTTGCTGTTTGGACATCTCTTCTCCAATCCAAGAATTTATTTTTCTCTAAATACTAGTGTGCTGGCTGATTTCATTGAAAACTTGACACAAACCTAGAATTATCGGTGAAGAGGAACCTCAGTTGAGGAAATGCCTCCTTTTGTAGGCAAGTTTATATGGCATTGTCTTGATTAATGGTTGATGTGGGAGAGCCCAGCTCACTGTGGACAAGGCGCTTCTGGGCTGGTGGTCCCAGCTTTAAAAAGAAAGCAGGCTGAGAAGCCGTAGGAAGCCAGTAAATGGTGTCCTCCATGGCCTCTACTCTAGTTCTGCCTCCAGCTCCTGCCTCAGCTTCCCTCAGAGGGCTGTGACTGAGAATAAGGAAGCCAAATAAACCCTTTCCTCCTGAATTACTTTTTGGCTCTTTATCAGAGCAACATGAACCCTGAAGCAACTGTTTAGCTGCATCCCAGAAGTTTTGATATTTAACGTTTTGGATGCTGTATTCTAATACATAGTTCAGTCGGTCTAGTTTTGAAGCTTTGGGTTTTTGTATCAAAGATCCCCTCCCTGAGAACCCATGGATGCCCCAATATTTTCTATAAAATGTTCCTGCAGAAATGGATGGAGCTAGAAAACATTATTTTGAGTGAGGTAACCCAGACACAGAAAGACAATTATCACATGTACTCACTCATAGGTGGTTTTTAAACATAAAGCAAAGAAACCAACCAACAAACCACAATTCCAGAGAACTTAGACAACAATGTGGACACTAAGAGAGACTTACATAGACATAATCTACATGGGAAGTAGAAAGTAGAAAAAGACAAGGTCTCCTGAGTAAATTGGGAACATGGGGACTTTGGAGAAGGACTGAAGGGGAAAGGGAGAGGCAGCAAGGGAAGCAGAGAAAAATGTAGAGCTCAAAAAATATCAATAAAAATGTATAAAAAAGCAAAAAAAAGATTAAAAAATAAAATAAAATAGAAATACCAATTTTGCTAAAGCAGACATGGTCCCTTATTACCTGGTAAAAGAATAAAAAGTATAGAAGTAAAAAAAAAAAATTGTTCCTGCAGACCATGCATGTGGCTTCGAATCATGTCTAGGTCCTCTGTCACACACACACAACAAAGCAAAAGTACACGGATAGCTTATATTGTGCTGCAGGGGAACACTGCAGGGGGAAGGTCTGCACAGAACCCAGGCACTAACTTCTCCACACATTTCCTAGCTACAGCTAGCTCAATCACAGGTGCAGAGCCCAGAAATACAGAGGATCAACTGCCAACGTCTTTACCCCCACCACACTGTGAGTCTTTCAAACTCCATCACAATCAGAGCCATTCAGAAAATTGCCTTGCAGCTTGCAGCTCTGTGAGGAAATGACTTCGTGGATGGGCAGCGTTTCACTCTCATATTCCACAAGGACTTGAAAAATCATTGCTTCTTTCAGGTGTGTGTGTGCTCGTGTGCAAGTGTGTGCATGCAAGTGTGTGAGCGCATGTGTGTGTGTGCACAGTTCTAGAACTGCAGGTATATGCAGCAAGCCTGGCTTTTTGCATGAGTGCTGAGGACAAACACAGAGCCTCATGCTTGAGTGGAAAGCACTCTTGGCCCCTGAGCCATCTCTCTAGCCTTCAGTTCATCCTGAGACCTGTCTGCATTTACTCCAGTTGTTCTCACCCCTGGAGCCTTCCAACAGCAGCTAACCTCTCTGAGAGTTCCACTTTCCCAGCGCTTCTGCGTGAGTTCTGCAGGCCACAAGCAGAAGATGCCAAATCCATACATACCCATACGGTTCTTTGAAAATGCCTTGTACCTTGTCTTTCCCACTGAGTTTGCCTGGGGCATTCACCTTCCCTGACTACGGATGACAGAGTGTCTGTGGAAATGTCCTGGGCATTCCCAAACTTCCTGTTCCCCTCACAGGGGCCTGACCTGCAGGGAGTAGGTTGATGTTGGAGGTTTGCTTGCTCTAACCTCAGCAAGGAAAGAGAAGTGAGATCTATCACAAGCAACAACATGAGGCGGCTCCTCAAGAGATAACACACGTTAGAACAAGGGCCACCACAGGGAGAGAGGAGAAAGGAAAGGTGAAGTGGCCACCTTTCTGAGGGCCCTGCCAAGGTATGCCACTAAACAAACACGCCACACACAACAGAGTTAAGTTAGTGCGAGAGGTTTATTAGGGGAGGGGGGAGTGAAAGGCCATGTTGTAGTGGGGGCATGAGGCAGGCAGGCAGAGAACAGGGAAGAGACAAGAGGGAAAAGAAAGATGAGAGAGTGGGCTGTGCCTGGCGAGCACTTTTAAGGGGTGCACATGTCGCACAGCTGATGGTGGAAAGGCACCTGGTGACAGATGACACCTAACTTTGGAGGCAGGGGCAGGCCGCTGTCATGGCAGGAATTAACATTCCTCCCTTTTGTTTATTATAAAAAGGTAAGGAAATAGGAAGGGGTAACAGGAGGGGCAGAAATGGGGGTGCAGTGTTCTCTAGACACAGTTCGCCAGACTATTGTCTGGGGGCATCATCATCTTTGGGGGACCTGAGAAAGCTGGGATGCTGGCCAAGTCCTGGGATAGATAGGTGTCTCTTCCACTTGCTGTCTGGGCTCTGGGAGACCCTCTGGTGCTGGGATCGAGGAAAGTGCAGGCCTCGCTGAAGCGGTCTGTAAGGGTGGACCACCAGGGATAGCCATTTTGAAGCTGTCTAGGATGCAGATTTTGCGGAGACCTGGCAGGATGCTGGCAGAGCAGAACATAAAGTTAAGAAGTTTAGAGGGAACTTTGCTCTTAGATCCCGGTAATTGAGGGAGGGGAGTCCCAGGATGAGGGAAAGGTGGGGAGGTCCCCCCTCGGGAGCGGACATAGGTGGGGTGGTACTTATCTGGAGTCCATCTGAGCTCTGCTCGGCTCCCTGGAGCTTACAACAATTTTCCCGCTTTTGAGTCACAGGACACCCAAAATTATTCTGGTTAAAAGCATTAACGCTCTTTCCTCTAGCCAGGAAAACGGGTCTACCTAGGATGGACAGATGTTTTCAGCACAATGAGAAGCACTTCGAAGTCTGTACTTGAAAAACAACCAAAGGGCATTTAAAATCTTGAGCATGTGACTATGTGGACAGTCGTGGTGCTCTGCCAGAGCTGGATTAACAGTTTATCAGAATTCCACTGGCGAACGTTAAGACTATGAACTTTTGGAATCTTAATGAAATAATAACTTAGCGAGGGAAAGAAATCTGAAATATTTCATTCTTTTATAAACATAACACTTAAAAAAATCACCGTTTAAGCTTCCATGTCCTCTAGCCCTTATAACTTGCATTTTAAACACAGCTGAAGCCTTGCTGCTGTTAAACTAGCAAAGCTATTGCTCACCTCATCGTCAGATACCGTCAGATCTGAGAGGGATAAATTTCACTTGAGAGAGCAGAAGTTCAGCCCAAGCAGATTCTGAATCTATTAAAAATGACAGACTTACTGGCTACCAGGACAGATCCCTAGGTTCCTCCATGGCCATTGGGGACAGAGGTCCAGGGCAGCACCCGTCTTCAGCTGCCAGGCCAGAGGATCTGCCAGGCATTCCTGTGGCAGGAACCAACCGACCTTGTCTAGGCAAAGTAGAGCAATCAGCTCACCAGTGTCTGGGCAGGATCTGAGCAGCAGTTAAGGTGAAAGGTAGTCCTCCACCCCAAGTGACCAGTGTTGCCACATTTAAAGCAAGCTCCGGGTGGAGAGTCTTCTGTTCCCATCCATCTTCTCTGGAGACAATAGGGTTGGTTGCCAGGAGCTGGTATATCTGTCTATCACACACACAAAAAAATAGCTTTTTATTAAATACTTCAAATGCCATATTCTGCAGATCTCTGAAGCATTTGAGGACTATCTACCTATTTGGTATATCCGAATAGACAAACTTTGCTTGTTTCTAGTTACTTGTTTTAAGCTTAAATTTGAAAACATATACAGGGGACTAAGCAAGGCTTATCCCTGTAATTAATTATATTAATACTAAGCACAACTACAATTAAAGAATTGAATCATCTCTAAGAAGACTATTAACTTGTGTTCTTTAACAGTCTACAATAAGTTAGCAACTTTCATAAGACTAGGACTTTACATTCCATTCCTGTTTAATGTGACCAACCATTAACTTGCATTTCTTAATTATCCTTAACAGTTTACAATAAGTTAGTAGCTTTTATAAGACAAGGACTTTATGTTCTGCCCCTGTTAAGTTTAGCCTTAAAAATAATGATTTTGAATTGAAGCTCTTTTAGTATCAAAATAAAACTTTTTAATCATAGATAATGGGCTCAATAAAAAATTCAAAATATTCACTCCATGGGTGAAAACAGAACAACTGCTAAGGCTGTTTCCTGAGAAGACAAGGAAAGTGACAGGGGAAAGATCCCCAGGGCCAAATGGGAACAGGAGGAAAGGGGGCCCGTGAGATGAGTGGGGCCTATGAGCAGGGACTGAGGGAGCCCAGAGTCCAGCACTGCCCTTGACAAGCCATGGGGGTCCCTGCCCAAATGCCCACCCCTGGGAAAAGGACTCTCTGGGCAGGGGGCAGGCATTCCATTGCAGAATATATGTCTTATTTATCAGATGTATGTTGCCACTGATCTAAGTTTTCTAGAAACTTGATATTGGATACTTAGCACAGACATAAGTACTTAGGTGTAAATCTCTAAGTCATCTTTTGTTAATCTGAATAGCTCTTTATAACCTTAAAATTTTATGACCATATAGAATATATTCTAAACCAGAGTCGAATCATATACAATATGTTGTAACAAATATAACTTAACATTTCTATCATCATACAAAAGTCCATACTAATCCAAAATATTTGAGACTTGCTGTTTTCTTAGTCTGAAAGGAGATACAATGTACAGAGCTCATTAGCACATGATATGTCTGCCAGCCATGTGGCCATCTACATCCTGATGAGGTCACCTGCCAAGCTGGAGGAGAGCCACATGGCTGCTAATGAAACATGTTTTCTAGACAATAGTTAAGTTATAAGCACATATACGCACAGACACATACACACAGTGTTAAATCCAGCTTATAGATATGTACATATAGAGTCAAAAATCCAAGTCCCTCTCTCTCACACACACATACATACACATCTTAAATAGGAACTAAAACACACACACACACACACACACACACACACACACACACACATATATATGCCCATGTATAGAATTTTAATTATAAATCTTTTGTTATAAGCTTTAAGCCAAATTTTGTTACAAATTATACAGATTTTAAACCATACCCAATGAGCAATTTACAAATCCTGAGATCAGAGTTTACAATATAATCTTAAGATATTGTTATTTGTGAGAGCAGAGTGCAAAGAAATCGTAGAGATATAAGGGTTTTAGGAGCCTTAGAGGTAAGGGACTTTGGAAGTGTAGCAAGTTTAGGTATTAGATTTTTGGGGGTCATTTGTTTATGGCAAATAGCAGTTGTTAACTATTTGTGGTAGCTTGGAAATCAAATTTGTCAGTTTTGGCCACTGATTTGCACTGAGACCAGATTGTTGTAATAAAATCTGAGTCCATGGAGGAAGAGAGAGAGGGTCACAAAGTGGAACACTGTGCAGGTGTGTTCTTCTAAGTTCCTAGAGAAAGTTGAGAGGGAAAGGGAGCTGTAGGACTGCAGGCAAAAACAGAGACGGCGCAGCGGGCCTGCAGGCCGGCTGCAAGGTGAGAGATGGTGCAGTGGGTCTGCAGGCTGGCTGCAAGGTGAGAGATGGTGCAGCGGGTCTGCAGGCTGGCTGCAAGGGGAGAGAACACCAGGAGGAGCAGAAGAGAGGGGAGATGTGCATGTGCTCAGCAGGCCACAAGAGCCAGAGCCACGTGGAGAGTCCAGCTGAACAGAGCTTAAGCAGGCCTCCCAGGCTGCTGGGATAGGGGAGAGAGCAGGAAAGGAAATGTCCACGTGGGTGCAGCAGGCTGCAGAAGTCAGACAAGCACACGTGTGTCCACGTGGAAAGTAACTCTGAAGGAATCGAACTCTAAAATTTGGAATTAGATTCACTCACGGACAAATGATCTGTACACACTTTCCTGAGGGTTAGATCAGCAGATACGGCAGGGAGAGCTGGTGTGTGCTGAGCAAGATGAAGCTGGCTTCTCTGACTTCTACAGTGACACAAACATACAGACAGGATGTTCACAGAGTTGAGAGAGGGAGAGCCAACAGAAACAATCAGGTCGTGGAGCAAAGAAAACCAAAGAGTAAATAATTCTTTCTCTGCTCCCCGAACTCCTGATCCAAGGTATACTGAGGCCTGATTTAATTTGAAAGGAGTGGTCAGAGGTTCTCCAAAAGACATCCCAGTGGGAGCAAGGAGGTGTATGACTCAATTCCCAAGGATGATCAGAGAGAAGGTAGAGCCTTAGGGGTCCCTGGGACTCAGAGAAGGACGAAACAAAGCAGGCACAGGCTGTTCAGTGCACTGTCACACAAGAACAGGGGCCAAGGGCTAATAGACCAAGCGACACACAGTTGTCTGGTACTCAGACTCCAGAAAAGCTAGGGGTGAAGGTTGTGCTTGGTAAAGGAAGCCTCACATCCCGGGGAATGGTCAGAGGTGGGTATCCCTGCCAGAGACTCAACTGCCCGTACTGAATGGAAGACGGCAGAGCCGTTGGTGAATGAGAAAGCAGATCTACTGCAGGTGGAAACAGCACATCTGTTGCAGGTGGAGCATGCAGGTAGGATCCCGGCGTGGCCAGACCAAATGCCAGGAGAGCCTATTGAGTCTTGGCACCAATTAAAGGATAAAAAAATGAAAGGCGAAGTGGGTACCTTTTGGTGGGCCCTGCCAATGTATGCCACTAAGCAAACACACCATGTTCAACCGTCAGTGCAAGAGGTTTGTTGGGGGAGAGGGAGAGTGAAAGACAGTGAGGGAGTGGGGATATGAGAGAGGCAGGCAGATAGGCAGGCAGGCAGGCAGGCAGAGAACAGGGAAGAGGAGCAAGAGACAAGAAAGGCAAGAGACAAAAGAGGAGGCAAGAGAGCAGGCTGTGCCTGGTGGGCACTTTTAGGGGGTGCAAATGTCACCTAGCTGACAGGCACCTGGTGACAGGCGCAGATGAAACTTAACTGCTTTGGCAGAAAGGCAGGCTGCTACCAGGGTGGAAACTATCAGATGGCTCCTGAGGAATCACACCTGAGGGTGACCTCTGGCATCCACATAGGTACGGGTGCACACATATCTACACATAATAAACACAAATGCCAATGACAGCACATCTCTGGGGAAAGTTCTCACTCTCAACAGTAGTAAAAAAATATAAAACTTCAAATTAAATTAAAATTCAGTTCAAGCAAACATCAAGGAAACAACACCAACCTTAGATCAACAGTGAGGGTAAAGGAGATGATGTTTGAGACTTCATCTCTCTGCATCTCTTCACCACTCTGCATCAGTGGGGCAGAGTTATTTACGTGTTACAAACCCACTTTTTAAGACATTACCAAAATTCTGTGACACCCATCATGAGGGAAAGTCAAACCCTCACCCACAAGGCACTGTGACGTTACCGACCTATTTGCTCGCCTCTGTATCATAGGCTCATGGACCAAATTCAGTATGCAGGTGGGCAGGGATCCATGGCCGGCCTAGGCCAATGGGCTGTAAAGCCAAAATGCACTGAAGAATAGCTGACTGCTGACAGGGCCTTGACCTCCCTGAAATGCCCGTATGTACATTTCCAAGTTGGAACTTCTTCAAGCTCATTGTAAGCCAACAATGAAACAGAACTGGTAACAAACAGCCCCCAATTTCAGTGGCTGACCAGGGCACAGGCTTGCTTAAATAGCCAGTTGATCAACCCACACCAAGATGATCTTGGTGACATGCCAAGATGTACGTCAAATGAAGTTCACTGTAGCATTGCTATGCTGTTATAATTTTTACAACACCCTAAATGTCAAAAACTAGGAGCTAGTGAAGCAAATTATGGCCCACGAGAGAACACTGTAATAAATACTTTACAACAAAGGGGAGTGATATATTGAAGATCTTTAGTAGCCGTTGGGGAATTTTTTTCCAATAAAAATGAGGGAGAAAGGCAGACGATGCGATCACATATTTTTAAAACTACTGGCACACCCTTTGAAAGAAGTCGCGGTGAGAGCCACAGTCGTGGCAGGGAAAAGGCATGAGATGAGTGATGGAAAGACCACAGAAGAGGTGCAAGGGGTGGCGGTGGAACGCTGAGACATGCTGTTTCACACAGGACAGAAAAGGGAAGCATGTTAAAAAACCTTGGGAGCAGCGGTGGGAATAAGCAAGGATTGGGCTTCGGCTAGACCCTGTTGAGCAAGAGGTCTGCTGGGTAAAATCACGGTGTGGGCATCTCGCCAGCACAGCCCTGCTTGCTTTGTTTCCACCAACAATGGGGTCTCAGGTTACAGCCTTGCTAGCATGGTTGAAGATGGGTAACAGAGGAGCGGCACTAACCACCTGGATGGACGTCCAAAAGTTGGCTCAACTTGACTGGATCTTAGGTGTGGGTCATGAGATGATGCCATAAAACCTCTCAGAGAACTTGGACTTGACGTCCCCCCGAGTTTGAAAACCCTGCCAGAGCTTGGTTACTCAGGAACATGATGTGCCGAGGGAGGGTGTTGGCTTCCAGACAGAGAGGACATTTTCTAAATGATCAGGGCCTGTTCCAGGAAAAGGCCTGGAGAGGGGAGGTGGGATAGATTGTGACATTTTCAGAAGTGGCCATCAGGTTGATCAAAGCACTCTCCGTCTCAGTCACAGAGACAAGCTCCAGAGATTCCACCATTTCCTGTCTGGGGAAGCCCCTACAGCTACAAGGATCTTTCTTCACCTTTGTGGGGTTTTCAGAGTCACCAAAGGGAGCAGCTCCATCTCTGAACACCCTGGGCTGGAGCACTCCCACAGAGATGTTGAAAGCCTCTTTAGGAGACCACAAAAGCCTTCAGGAGCCTCTCACAGGGACACTGCCTTTGCTGAGGCTCTCTGAGTTCACTGAGTACACAGAGTAGTGGAAGAGCAAAGAAATCAGCCGTCAAGAGCCCTTGCTGGTCTGGCAAAGGATCCAAGTTCAGTTCTTAGGATCTACAATGGATGGTTCAAAATTGCCTGTAACTCAACTCCAGGGTACCAGACATCCTCTTCTGGTCTCTGCACGGACTGCACTTGTATACACACAAACCCATATACAGACATACACATTTACACATGTATAGAATTAAATAACTTTTTTAAAGGGGGAAAACAAAGGAATCTTGACCATATTAAGACAAGGAGGACATCTGAGAGAGAAGGACAAAGAAAGGTAACAGGAGCAAGCAGCAGCTGGAAGCCTGTCAGTTAGGCTCCTCGTACATCAGTCATTTCCCACTGGTGGATTATGTAATAAATCTCTATTCAGCCACACTGGATGGACTGTGTGGGTCCCTGGCAACAGCATGCATCCAGTAGTAATAAAGGTTGTCGCCCAATAGGGGACAGATTTACAAACTACAGTGATAAGGCCATGGAGAACTGGGTAGAACAGTGACCTTAAACTAAGCCCTCAAGGATAAGAAATTCTGTGCTGTTCAACAAGGAATATAGTTTGAAAACAATCTGTACCTGGCTGCTTCTGGTTCTGAAGCAGTTCCTGGGTAAAGGAGGGGGGTGATAATGAAATACCCCGAATGAGCTGCCCCATGCTGTAAGATGACACGGGGTGCTGCCTCCAGAGATACTGTTCATCACAGGAGTTCCCCGTTCTCTGACTACAGAGATGCTGGAGGAAGCTTTCTGTCTCTGTTTATCAGATTACCCTTCATAAAGCAATAGGCTTCTTGGTCTACTCACATCATCAATTTAGTACTTGCAGAGACAGATGCCAAGACAGGGTTTGAAATGCAAAAGATCCCAAGGACCACTTGGGATGAGACAAGAGGAGACAAGGTCCCCAGAGTATGAAGGCTTCCCACACAGATCTAGGCAGACAGAGAGAGAATGAAGATTAAATATAAGTGCCTCTTCAGATACAACATGGAAAAAAGTCCTCATAGCTCCATAGCCAGCCTGGTGCAGAGACACACCTGGGCAGGGCTGACCAGACTTCACTGTCAGTGGCATCTGGAGAGGCCCAGTTGGCCCCCATCTGTAAAGGATGCAGCCTCAGCCTGATAGCTGCAGAGAAACCTGACTACCAGCATTCTACTACCAGTTTACCCCAGCCGAGCAGGGTGACTCTGTGGCTGCCTCACAGGGCCCACTTTGTTTATTTGTCATCAAAGTGGAAACTGATGTTGCCTGCAAAATATGAAGAAGGAACTGATTCCGGAAAATCATTGTAATAAGAGCTTCATCTGTGGTCTCTGTGGAGACGGATCTCCAGGGGTGCTTGGCAGCTTGGCAGACATCAAGGATGAGGGAGACTTAGCCTCTGTACCAGACTATAATTGTTCTGATGCTTAGGAGAAGAGCCCCTCCCACTGGGGCTAAAGGCCTGCTCATGCTGCTGCATCCAAAAGACCACCCCTGTCTGAACAGGAGGCAGGCATGCATGATGTGGGCATCCTCCCTGGAATGCAGCCTGCTGAGAGCATTGGTGTCATGTGACCCTCTCAACAAATCTCATAGGACATGAGACCCAAGGAACCTGCTGTTCTTTATTTCTGAGTCAGGAATCTCACTTTCTGCCAAGAGAGTATCTTTTAGCCTATTTACAAGTGATATATTAGCCTGCACCCAGGAAACCACTAAAAGTTTATCTAGCTTGCAATCAGAGTAAGAATCTTAGCTCCCATCAAATCAGAATTCTTGGAAGGGTGAACCCTACATGAAGTCAGCCTTCCATAATTACAGGTCGGCAGGTCCAGCTGACTGTCGATTAAAAATAGGTACCTAATAGTTATATCTCTACTGAACAGGCACAGAACTTCCAGAACTATATCCTAGGCATGTCGGGTAGTAACAACTATTTGCATAGAATTTACAGTGTTATTGGACATCATAAAGCAATTAAGAGATGATTTTAAGCCTATGAAAAAGGTGAGTCTTTTTAGTAGGGTAACAGGAGTGTCCTTAGGGAGGCTGAGCTCCAAGAAAGGGAGGGGGGTCACCAGGCAGAATCTCTCCCTACTTTGGGGTTATTGTCAGGTCCTATTTCCTGAGCCATACTGAGGGAGATGGTGAGGTCTGGAACACAATGGCCACCTCAATAACCTGACTGTAAATCACCAATATTTGATTCAAATGGCAACAGTGAAAGGCAGTCTTGGGGCCTCATTTCTGGAGTTATTTATAGGCTTCATGTGATAGCTTAATGGGCTAGGTCACATTTTAATGCGGCAAAGCCCTTGGTCATAGGAGAGTCTGTCGAGAGGCCAATGTTTCCCTGAAGGAATGGCGTTTCCATGAAGCAGACAAGCCCAGGTGCCACTTGACAAACACTTTCTCAGAGCTCTGCTTCCTGGACACCGGAGAAGCAAGGCACACAGCACACTAGCACAGTTCGATCAGCTGACCCATGGCTCAGACTCGGCATTCCCGGTCCATCCTTTTCTCTTTTAAGCCCCGTCATCTTCCACATCACTTTCCTCCGCTGACGCAGAGTGGCGGTCCCATCTCTCCACCCACAAACACCATGCAGCATACCTGGGTGGAATGGCAAGGCTGATCTCACACGTGGCTTTTAGAAAGTGGTGAGCTGAGCTGGCAGACGGCACCTCTGGTGAAGTGCTCATGTGGATCCAATCCTCTGAAATCGCCAGACTTGATGGTGCACACTCGCAATCCCAGGGTTGGTGAGGGCAGAGGCAGAGGGGGACAAAGGGGCAGAGATGGGCATAGAGAGGTAGAAAGGGGCAGTGAGGGGCAGAGGAGGCAGAGAAAAGCAAAAAGGGTCAGAGAGACAGGCAGATCCCTACAGCTCATTGGCTACTCAATGTACCTGCTTGCAGAGTTTCAGATCAGAGAGATCCTATGTCAAAAAAACCAAAACTAAACCAAAACAGAAAAATTCTCAAAGTGGTCAATGCCTGAGGACCACCATCCTAGGTTCCTCTGGCCTCCATCTGCATGCACATATATGTAGATGTGCACCCTACTACACATGAGCTTGCACACATCTGTGTACACACACAATGTGAGCCAAGTATCCCATCTCAAAGTCCCCATCAGAAGATGCCAATCCCATCTTCTTGCTCTCTATACACCAGCTACTCCCTGCTGCTTCCCTGGGGAGGAGCTGCTCCACAGCCATCCTGAAGTCTGAGGCACATTTCCCTGAGTGGTCCTGTTCCTTGATGTGGGCCAGAGCAAGGTCAACTTAGGGTCTACACAGAAAAGCCTTCCTTTTCCCCTGTGAGGGGGCAGGCAAGGGGACCTTCACGAGATGACTGGACTCTTAGCAACCAAGACTACAAAGATTAGAAAAGAGCCACAATATTGTTCTTCATGATCTCATTTTAAATGGCACCTCTACTGCTTTTCTGTTGGTTTCTATTTGTAACTGATGACAGACTTATGTGTTTTTGATTGCGCTTCTCCAACATCATCATCTTGACAGAACACTTTCCCAGCAAAGACAAGACACTGACATGGTCCTCTGCTGCTCCCGTAGAGTGTGATGCTCTAGCTGGCTCACATAAGAACCTTGGTATATCCGTCTCCTCACCAGAAGCTAAGAGTCTGAACATTTCAAACCCCTAGCATGTCCCTTTCCCTTTCATAACCACATGAGCCATTCTTGCTCCCAGAGTAGGAGATGTATAGACAGGTGTGTAAGACAGTTCTGCCCCAAGGGAGAGTAAGGCTGTTTCTCATAAAACAAAACGTGCATCACCATGTGGTCCATGCATGGGTTCACTGAGCGTTCACTGGAGTTAAAAACTTACATGCAGACAAAGTCTTGCACATGAGTGCTCACAGACGCTCCTAATAGTAATAGAAGGCTGGAAGCCATATCCTTCCATGGCTGCAGGGTTCAGCAAATGATGACCTGTGCATCCCATGACATTCTAGCTAGCCAGAAGGAATAACTAGTATGTCAAACAGCTTGGGTGGGTCTGGAAGGATTCCTTCTGAGCCAAGGAGGTGTCCAAGAACTTGCATAATATCTGTTCTGGTTCTGAATCACTTTTGAAATGGTCATGAGCTACCTAACTTCTTAGCAGGACCCAGGGGCCAGTTGTGTGTTTCAAGAAGCTGACTCCCTTCTCCCAAGATCAACGACGATGCAATGAGAGCGGTAGAGAGGAGACGTGGGTTCCAGCAGAACATGTTCTCTGGCAGTGTGGGCGCCACTGGATCAGAGTTCTGCTGAGAGACTGTGATGTTTCACCTTTCCACTCATGGCATTTGTTAGCTGGTAAGATTCCAGATCAAAGTTCTGCATTAAAATGTCCCAAAAACCATCTGTAAAGCACAGGCACTCTGTATAGCAAACTCTTCACAAAGGGCCTGTGGCCACTTGGCTGCACATGACTCTGTGAGCGTGTGGGTTGAGCTAGGCAGGAGGTGTGTAGTCAGCTCTCCTGAAGGCTGGGAAGGTATAACAGAGAGAAGGACCACAAGGAGAACAGGGGTCCCCACACTCTTCAATACGATAGGGACCTCCAACACATGAAGCTTCTGAAGGTCTTCAAAGGATGTTGACTATGTGCTGGAGTTGGACAAGGCCTAGTGGATGCTAAGATCCCCTCTGATACAAGGGAAACAGGTTAGGAAGCAAAGAACTGAACTTCGACTTGCTGTGTCCTTAGTACAGACCAGTCCATGGGGTATCAGCTGCCCAGGTAACAAAAGAGCTGTCATTCAGGAAACATTCTTCTTAGGACAGACAGGAAATGGTATCTCTGTTCTTCTGAGCAAAAGCAGTTTTTAGCTCCTAAGGAAAGAGTGGTCTCAACTCATCCAGTGAACAGAAATTCTCAGCTCTTTTAGCATCAAACGCTCTCAGCAAAAATGGTCTCAATACAGCTCATGTGAGTGAGTCCCGGATCACATAGATAAGAGGGTGTCTCTCAGGTAACTATGCCACAGATCCCTGGCGTTGTCACCTGTCTCAGATACCTACAAAACAGGGGTCTCTGATGTCCTAGATTACAGCACCCTCAAATCCCCAGATGACAGTGGTCTCAGACTCCTCAGGAAACAATGCTCTCAGATGACAAGGTAGCAGTGGCCTCGCGTTGCCCAGGTTACAGTGTTGTCAAATGCGATGTCTCAGCATCCCAGGTTACAATGCTCTCCCTCAGATCCCCACATAATAATGGCCTCAGTTTGCCCAGGGCACGGTAGTCTCAGAACATCAAGGTAACAATGTCATTGATAGCCATGCTATAGTGCTCTTAGATTCCTCAGGTAATAACTGCTTCATATTCAATATATCAATGTTCTAAGACACCCCTAAGTTATAATGTTTTCAGAATTCCAAGTTAGTGATCTTGTACCCCCATGTCCCAGTGGTCTCAAATTACAGATGTAATAATGGTCTCAGATCACATAGGTAATGTCTTCATAACCAAGATAATAATGCTTTTAGATTATCAGTTTATAATGCTCTCAAATTCCCAGGCAACAATGCAGTGATATGTCAAGTAACAACAGTATTGATCCTCCAGTTTACAATGATTTCAGTTCCTCAGGTAACAGTGATCTCAGTCCCCAGATAACGATGGCCTCAAATCCCTAGGCAACAGTGACCTCAAATCCCCAGAGGTAACAATGGCCTCAAATCCCCAGTTAACAGTGGTCTCAGGTCTATGAAAACAATGATCTTGGATCACCAAAGTAAGAATAGTTTTACATTCTCCAAGTTATAAAGTTTAGATCTTCAAGGTGACGATGGTTTCAGACCTTCTAGGTGGCAATTGTCTTTATACCTCAGGTAATAATGTTCTAAGGCACTCAGATTACAATACTCTCAAATCCCAAGGTAACAATGGTCTCATATCCTACAGATAACAATGTTCCTAGATTCACAGGTTTCAATTGTCTCAGATTCTCCGGGTAGCAATAGTCTTAATTACCAGGTAACAACCTCATATACCCCAGGTTACAATGCTATCCAGTCTGCCAGTTAAAAATAATTTTGATTCCCCCAGGTTGCAATGTTACCAAATCCTCCATCTGCTAATAGTGTCAGATTTCCAGGAAATAGAACTGTCTTCATATTCCAGGTAACTGGTCTCAGATCACTCACATTATAACACTCTTATATTTACAGGTAACAACTGCCTCAGATATCCCAGGCAGCAATGCTTTTAAATCTGTCAGGGAGCAGTATTGTAATCCCACAGTTTAAAATGTTCTTAGATTTCCCAGGTTAACAATGTTCTCCGATCCTCCTGGTTATGATGATCTCATATGCCTCAGATAACAGTGGTCTTGATCCTCCACCTTACAGCATTCTCAGATCCAATAGGTAACAGTGTTCTCAGATCATTCAGTTAGCTATGGTCCTGGTCCTCCTGGTTAGAGTGTCCTCAGATCCTTCAGGTGACAATGGTGCCAGATTCTCCAAACGACAAGCTCTCCAATTAATATTTAACAGTGCCTCCTATTCTCCAGGTAATAAGTCTCAGGTGCCCCACATATCTGCCAGGGAACAATGGTCTTGATCTCCCAGGTAACAAAGCTCTCAAGTTCACAGGAAACAAGAGTTTCATTTCACCCAGGTATTCTCGGATATTCCAAGACTCCAAGTACCTATGTTCTCTTATCTGCCACGGAACAATAGTCTTGATGCCTTAAGCTCCAGTATTCTCAGATCCCTCAGTGACAATATTCTTAGATGCCCCTGGCAATGGTCTTGATTCCACAGGTAACAAGGCTCTCAGATCTCTCAGATCTCTCAGGTTACCATGTTCGCAGATCTCACAAGAAACAATGGCTTTGATAAAATTGGAGAAAATGCTTTCAAATACCCAAGGTAACAATGGTCTTGATAAACCAGGCTACACTGTTCTTAGCTCAGTAACACTGGCTTACAATGGTCTCGATGGTCTCAATGTCCCAGGTAAGAATGGTCCTAATCCTCAGAGTTACTGTGTTCTCAAATCATTACCTTCAGATCCTCCAGATAACACTGCTCTCAGATGTTCTAGGTTACAATGTTCTCAGGTTTCCTAGGTTACAACAATCTCTGATCTCTCAGGTAACAATGGTCTTGATCCCCCAGGTTACATACAATATGTTCAGGCCATTCAGGTAACAATGATCTGGCTTCCTTAGGTAACAATGTTCTCTGATTGCTCAATGTAATAATGTTGTCATGCCCTGGGTAACAAAGTTCTTGATTCTTTACATAACAATGTTCTTAGATATTCCAGATAACAATGCTATTCCATGACCTAGGTAACAACTGTCTTGATCCCCAGATTACAATGTTCTCAAATGTCCTAGGTAACAATGGCCTTGATTCCCTAAGGAACAATGCTTTCATGTCAGCCTGGTAAGAATAGTCTTGGTCCGCACAGGTTACGGTGCTGTCAGATCACAGGAAACAATGTCCTTAATTCACTGAGGTAACAATATTCTTTATCCCACAAGTTACAAGTTCTCAGATTAGCCAGGTAACAATGGTTCTTATATTCTCAGATCACAGTGTTCTCAGATTAGTAACAATGGTTTTGATCCCTTCCGGGTAACAATGTTTTCAACTAGGGAACAACGGTTTTGATCTCTGGAGGTGACAATGTTTTCAGATCAGTCAGATAACAATGGTCTTTATCCACCCAGGTTACAATTCTTATATAAAGTATCACAGAGATAACAATGATCTAGATTCTCTCAGGTCACAATGCTTTCTGATCAGTGAGGAAACAGTATTCTTGATCCCCCAAAGTTACAATTTTCTCAGATGACTCATGTCATAATGGTCTGTATCCCCCCAGGTGACAATGCTTTCTATCAGTAAGGTAACAGTGGTCTTTATAACCCCTGGTTACAGTGTTCTCAGATCAATCAGGTAACAGTGTATAACCCCTGGTTACAATGTTCTCAGATAATCAGGTAACAGTGGTCTTTATAACCCCTGGTTACAATGTTCTCAGATAATCAGGTAACAGTGCTCTTTATAACCCCTGGTTACAATGTTCTCAGATCAATCAGGTAACAGTGGTCTTTATAACCCCTGGTTACAATGTTCTCAGATAATCAGGTAACAGTGCTCTTTATCCCCCAGGGATACAATGTTTTCAGGTCAGGATAGTAACAAAAGTCTTGATCCTCTGAGTTTATGATGTTCTCAGATCACCCAGGAGTACAACATTCTCTTCCCAGATTACAAAGTTCTCAGATCAGTAGGGTAACAATTGTCTTAATTCCTCCTAGGTTTCAATGTTTTCAAATCAGGTAGCAATGGCTATGATTCCCTCCATGCTATAAGGTTTTCAAGTGACAATGTTCATGATCCCCTAAGCTTCTAGTGCTCCCAGATCAGTAAGATCTTGATTCCACAAGTCACAATGTTCTCAGATCAGTAAAGTAGCAATAGTCTGCTGCGGGAGTACCTTGCGTCGCTTCAGCCAATAGTCGCTGAAGCACGAGCCCACAGTGCTGCAGGAGCACCTTCCGCTCCATCCGCCAATAGCTGCTGAAATACCAGCCCACTGGGGCGTGGTGTATTTCTCTTTTAAAAAGAGCTGCAGGTCTCGGCTCGGGCCTCTTGGCTCTGGTGCTTGGTTCCGGCTCCTACTCCCGGCTCCTGCTCCAGCGACTAGGCTCCCTTCCTGACGGTTTATGGTGTATGTAAGCTTTACCCCCCAAAATAAATACCCCCTTAAAACATAATTGGTGTGGAATTGATTAGCCATTAATAGTCTTGATTCCCTCTAGGTTACAATGTTTTCAAATAGGGTAACAATGCTCTTGATCCATCATTGTTACAATGTTCATAGATCAGGCAAGTAACAATGGTCTTTCTCCCCCAATCTTATAATTTTCTCATATCTGTAGGGTAACAAGATTCTTTATCTCCCCCTCCCCAGGTTACACTGTTCTCAGATAAGTAAGGTAACAGTGGTCTTGATATCCCTAGGTTACAGTGTTCTATTATCAGTCACATAGCAATGATCTTGATTCCTCCAGTTTACAATGTTCTCAGATCTATGGGTAACAATATTATTTATCCCCATAAGTTACAATGTCCTCAGATCAGCTAGGTAACATTGATTTAGATTCCCTAAAGTTACAATATCCTTAGATCTGCCAGGTAACAATGGTCTTTTATTGCCACCTCTCCAAGGTTACAATATTCTAAGATCAGTCAGGAAACAACTGTCTTGATTCTCACATGTTACACTGTATTCAGATCATTCAAGTAACAAGAGTCTTGTTCCCTGAGTTTACAATGCTTTCATATCAGTCTAGAAATATTGGTCTTTAGCCATAAGGATACAATGATCTCAGACCAATCAGATAACAATGGTCTGGGTTCTGTAAATTTACAAGGACCTTAGGTCAGACACACAACAATGATCTTGATGCCTTCCAGGTTACAATGTTATGAAATCAGGTAACAATGGTCTTAATCCCCTCTAGGTTACAATGTTTTTAAAGTAGTAAGGTAAAAAATGTTCTTTATCTCCATGAGTCAAAATCTTTTATCAGTAAGGAAAAATTGGTCATCATCCCTTCCAGATGACAATGTTTTCCAATTGGGAAACAATGGTTGTGGTTCGCTTGAGGCAGCAATGTTTTCACGTCAGGTAACAATGGATTTGATCTACTGGGGTTACAGTGACCTCAGATTAGTAATGGTGGTCTTGATTCTCCAAGGTTGCAATGTTCTTAGATCATCCAGATAATGATGGTCTTTATGCCCAAGATTACACTGTTCTCAGGTCAGTCAGATAACAACGGTCTTGATCCTCCAGGGTTACAATGTTCTCACCCCCCCCCAGTTAATAATATTCTCAGATCATAAGGTAATAATGGTCTAGATTCCCATCCAAGTTCCACTGTTTTCAAATTACACAACAATGGTCATTATCTATCAAGATTACAGTGTCCTCAAATCGGTCAGTAACAATGGACTTGATCCCCTCAAGGTTACAATGTTTCCAGTCAGGTAAAAATGGTCTTAGTCCTCCAAGGATACAATGTTCTCAGATCACCCAGTTAATGGTTGTCTTTATCCTCCCAAATACCAATATTCTTAGATCATAAGGTAACTATGGTCTTGGTTTCCCTACAGTTAACAATATTTTCTAATCAGGTAAAAATGGTTATTATCCCCCAAAGTTACATTGTTCTCAGATCAGTAAGGTAACAATAGTCTTTTCCCTCAAAGTTACAGTATTTTCAAATCAGCAAGGTAAAAATGGTTTTGATCATCTCAGGTTATAATGTTTTCTAGCCAGTCGGTTAACAAAGGTTCATTCCCCAGGGCTACAATGTTCTCAGATCACCCCAGGTAACAATGGTGTTTGTCTCCCTCAGAATACAGTGTTCTCTCTCAGATCACCAAGTAATAACGGTCTTAATCTGCTGCCAGTCACAATGTTCTCAGATCAGGAAGGTTTAAGTGGTCTCGTTCTCCTCAGATCAGTCTGGAAAAATTAGTCTTGATTCTCCCAGGTTACAACATTTTCAGATTGTGCAGGTAACAATAGTCTTGATCCTCCAAGGTTGTAATGTTCTCAGACCATTCAGATCTTTATCCCCACACATACCAATATTCTCTGATCGTGAAGTTACAATGGTCTTGCTTCCCTTTCAGGTTACAATGATTTCAATTCACATAAAAATGGCTATTACCCCCAGATTACAATGTGTTCAGATGAGTCAGGTAACAATGTTCTTTAATCCCACAAGTTACAATGTTCTTAGATCAGTTATTTAACAATGGTACAGATTCAACAAGGTTGCAATGTTCTCTGTTGAGTGGGATAACAATGGTCTTTTTACCCCAGGTTAAAATGTCTTTCAGTAAGTCAGTTAATAAATGCCTTTATCCCCCAAGGCTACAATGTTCTCAGATCATGCAGTAACAATGGTGTTTGCCCCCCTCAGATTACAATGTTCTCAGATCATGCTGGTAACAATGTTTTTGATCCCTCAAGGCTACAATGCTTTCACATCAGCCAGGTAACAGTGGCCTTGGTGTCCACAAATGACAATGTTATCAGATAAGCCAAGTAACAATGGTCTTCCCCCCTCCAAACTGCAATGTTCCTAGGTCTGTCAAGTACCAATTATCTGTCCCCCCAGTTTACAATGTCCTCAGATCAGAAAGGTGACAAGGATCTTAATGCACACAAGTCACAGTGTTCTCAGATCACTCAAATTACAATGGTCTTTATCCCTGCTAGTCATAATTTCCTCAAATCAGTCTGGAAATATTGGTCTTGATCCCCCATGTTACAAGGTTCACAGATCAGTCAGGTAACAACGCTCTTAACTCCCTCAGGCTACAATGCTCTCAGATCAGTCAGGTAACAATGCTCTTCTTTCTCTCAGGCTACAAGGTTCTCAGTTTAGAGAGGTAACAATGTTCTTGATCCCCAAGGTTGCCATGCTCTCAGGTCAGTCAAGTGACAATGGCCTTGATCTGCACAAATTATATTTTCTCAGATTATCTAGGTGTCAGTGATCTTGATTCCCCAAGACTATAATATTCTCAGAACCCTCAGGTGACAGTCTTCTCAGAGTCCCCCAGGTGTCAATATGCTTGTGCCTCAAGTGTCATTATTCTCAGATCAGAGAAGTAACAATGGCCTTGGTCTCCTGGGTTACAGTATTTTCAGATACCTCAGGTTAACTGATCTTGATCTTCCTGACTACAATGCTTTGGATCCTTCAGGTGATGATCCTCTCCAATTTGTAAATAGTTGTGGAAATTATGCTTTGATTTCTGCCAGGGAACAATGGTCTTGATCCCCCAGGCTTACAACAATCTCAGATCTCTCGGGTAACAATGGTTTTGAACTCCTTCATAACAATGCTCAGATTCCACAAGCATCAATGATCTTGGCTCCCCAAGTAACAGTGGTTCTCTGTTCTGTCAGCTAAGAGATTCTCTGGATTTCACACAGCATCAGCTGTCAGCTCACTGGTAATCACCGGAGTTATCATATCTCCAAGTTTTCTCAGCTTTCTCCGGTAACAGCAACCCCATCTACCCTAGTGGCAGTCATAGCACCTCTCCTGGGTAACAGTGGCTCTCAATCTAACCAGTAACAATAGTTCTCTGGCTTCCCAAGCAGCCTCTATTTGCCAATGTCACAGTAGTTCCCACAGTACCAGGTAACAGCAACAGCGGCTCAGATTACCCATGCAACCAGGATCACAGGTCCCAAAGGCAGCATGGTCTCAATGATCCTATGTAATATTTTTATCAGCCCATCCACTTAGCACTAGTCTCAACTCACTCAGATGACAGTGGGCACAGCTTTTCCAGGTAACAATGGTCTCTGCTCACTCACACAACACTGAGCTCTAATCCTCCAAGAGACAGTGTTATCACCTCCCCTAACTAGCACCTGTCCCCTCCCCCATGTAATAGTTGTTCTCAGATCCTCCAGGAAACAGGCATTCTCTCCTCATCCGTGGATAGAGTTTCCCTGGTCTCCAGGTAGCAGCCATCCTCATCCGACCCAGAACCATTCTTCCCTGGTCTCCAGTTAACAGTGGTCCTCAGCTCACTGAAGAAACAGGAAGCTCTCCTTTCCCAGGTAGCTCTGATTATGAGCTCATCCAGGCAACAGTGGTCTCAGCTAACTCATATAACAAGGTCACAGTTCATCTAGGTCACATGATCTTAGCTCCTACAGATAAGAGTAGTCAGCTTCTGATCCCCAAGTACAGTGGTTCTCAGCTCTCCAGATAAGGGCTATCTGCACACCATGGTAACAGTGTTTCTTTTGTTCAGGGACCAGATGGTCTCAGTTCACCCCTTTAACTGTGATCCCAGATCCCCCAGATAACAGTGCTATGTACCATTCTTCTCACTTCTTGAGGTGACACTGTTCACCCCCCCTTCCCACTGACCACTACTCACTTGTCCCCCGAGTACCTAGTGTTCTTACACTGCACCTTCTGTCTGTGCTCCATCTCCCATGTGGAACAGTGTTCTCACTCCCCCAAGTAGACTGTTCTCACCCACCCCAGGTGCCACTGTTCTCACCCGCCCCAGGTACCACTGTTCTCACCCGCCCCAGGTACCACTGTTCTCACCCACCCCAGGTACCACTGTTCTCACCCACCCCAGGTACCACTGTTCTCACCCGCCCCAAGTACCACTGTTATCACCCCCTCCCAGGTACCACTGTTCTCACCTACCCCAGATACCACTGTTCTCACCCACCCCAGGTGCCACTGTTCTCACCTGCCCCAGGTACCACTGTTCTCACCTGCCCCAGGTACCAGCATCCTTACCTTCTAGATGCCAGAGTCCTCACCTCCACCAGATAACAGCGGTCCTCAGCTCCTCCAGATCATAGTTGTATCAGTTTCCCCAAGTAACAGTATGGTGAGCTCATGCAGACAACCATGTTCTTGGCTCCTCGGGGCAACAGTGGTCTCAGTACTCCAGCTAAGTTTTTACAGCTCAGTCAATCAACAGTGGTCACAGCTCACCAGATGTCAGGGGTTCTGGCTTCTTCCTGTGACAATGGCTCTCAGTGAGTTCTGAGCACATTTCCCAGCTTACCCTTGTAAGAGCAGTAGATGATCACTGGGCAGTTGCCATCTTAGTTTGCAGGTTATAGTGGTGTCAGCCCCTCCCAAGAACTGGGTTGGAGTGGGATGCAGACAGGAGCCGCTTAGGCAAAATTAAGCCTGACAGGACCTTGATGCTTCACCATGTAAAGTGTCACCGTTCTCACCCTCTGATTCTGTAACTCCACAGCAAAAAAGTCAAGTACCTTCTCAAGTGTGTGTGTTCTCCACTGTGCTATGGTCTGATGACAGCCTTGTTCTGCTGCACCCACAACCACTGGCCTGGTGACACCGATTCTTTCTTACTTGATTCACTAAGAAATTTGAAACTGTGCTTGAGGTCTTCCCTTCTCTGATTTGACTCCAATCTTTTCTTCTGTTAGTGTGAAATTGAGTGAAAATCACAATGCCTCCCTCTTGAGGTGGTACCGCCACCCCACCAGCTTCACCTGTGACACACCACTGTGAGAGAAAGCAGCTCCCCTGACTGCAATCCCAGGGCAGTGGGTTAGTTCTGCAGCTCATGGCTTCATGTTATGTCCTAGCTCTCCTAGCATCCTTTGCTCTAGGCTTCTTCTAGAACTCCAAGAGCTGTTCTTAATGATGCTTGCCATGATGGCCCCCAAACCTGATGCCATCCAATACTGGATTCCCAAACTGAGGCAGCTGTTGGAAAATGTTACAATTCTAACTCAAAGGAGTCCAAATTCTATTCAGTTGAGAGTTCTGGTCCTGCATCCAGGTTAGGGCCAGCCCTCCCTCCAGGTTAGGCAGCAGCACTACTATACTGCCCTGGCTTCACTATGCAGACTATCCTAGCATGCCATGCTCATAACTGTCAAGGGTGTGTCCAGTTAAAGAGTTCTCTGTCTGATACAACCAGGTTCTCCACATTAAGGCTGCTCAACCCCAAACTCCAGGTGCAGATGAAGAGGGAATTTACCCAATGGTCCTGTTGGGATGACCTTGAATTCCTGACAAATTCCAGTCAACAGAGTCCCATGATCAACTTGAGCTGTTAACTTCAGGAACAAACAGCTACTACAACTGGGTCATTTCCTCAACTCGGTTTCCCACGAGCAGAGTCAAAGTACCCATCATTCAAGAAAAAGGGAGGCATGGAGTACAATGAAAGGTCCCGACCATCTCTGGGGTGCTAGGAATGATAGGATAAAAGGGGAGGTTATTGAGTCTACTTTAAACTAAAAGCAACTGTTGATTTTAAATATTTTACATTGTTATGAATTTTTGTGTATTGATATAAATTTAAAGTTATTTTTGCAATTATACAGATGCTTCTACTCTTGTTTAAGGTAGTGTAGCTGTGCAGCTCATTTAAAATGTATGTAAAGTTCTAGTTCTTAAAGGATACTATACAAACAATCTAGGGTAGTCACCTAAAATAATCAAACTTATAGTCATGTTAGGTATGATTTCAAGGTCAAATAGAGATATATTTTAGATAGATGGTTTTCAAACTCTTCAAAGACCAGCAGAATATGGTATTTAAGATGTTTTAATAACATAAGGCATTTCGTGACACTTCTGCTCCTCACAGCATCAATTTACTTAAAGAAACGAATAATGGGCATTGAAGAACCTCCTTATGGAGTTTGCTTTCAATGTGGCAAAACTATACATTTAGGTAAGAAACCATCCTTGCCAGTATGCTGTTTAAATTAGACAAGCAGCACTCAAAAGAAAGCGACTGCCAAACTTTGCCAAGACACGGTAGGAAAGTATTTCAAAAACAGTCTAGGCCCGTAGGCCAAAGATGGATGCCCCAACACTGAAGAGGAATCTTGGGTGACTGTCCATGCAGCCAAATATCTATCATTTTCATAGTTTTGGAAGTTGTTTGCTCTGTACTTCCTGTTTACTCAGGTAATATTATATCTTTCTTGGGTCTCTGATGGGGTTGAAGACTAGGCAGTTACAGTTACAAGTTTTTTAGTTTCCAAATTCAGAAAAGAAACTCACAAAAGAGGTGAAAATATACGGGGCTGGGAAACATAAAAGCCTAAGTTGTTTCTCTAAGAAAATGTTTTGAGGTCTAAAAAGATAGTTTTGGGTTGGTAATATAAGCTAGGATAGAAACTAAATTAAGTACAAAACTTTGGAGATAGAGTACATAATGGAATATTTTCTCTGAATTTGTTAAATGCAAATGGGCTGGACATTGAGAATGTTACTCTTACCTGAACATCATTCTTATTGTGAATAGTTTTACTGTGTTAGAGTTAAACCCTTTCCTCTTTGTTTAAACAAAAAGGATGAAATGTTGTAGAATAATCTTTTTGTATAATGTGAAGATGTGTTTTTGCCAAGGCATCTTCTGATTGGTTTAATAAAGAGCTAAAGAGCCAATAGCTTGCCTGGGGGTATAGGCAGGGCTTTCAGGCAGAGATGACTCTGGGAAGAAGAGAGGCAGAGAAGTCAACCAGATGTGGAACAAGTCGAACACAGAGAATGGAGCAGAGGTAAAAACCACATGGTAGAATACAGATTAATAAAAATATAGATTAACTTATTTGGTATCTGACTGGCAGGCAGAGAAAGGCTTGTTACAAGGAGCTCAACAGGACAGGCTGGTCTATGGCACACGTTGAGAGTTGCTGATATTTGGTGACACTGAGGGACATGGACTTGGATGCAAGTTACTGAAGAGTCAAAGACCTAAGCCCCCGGGGCTGCACAAGCTGCAAAGGTGAAGCAGAGATCAGCAGGGGGGAAAGAAAGACTGAGATAAAGGAAAAGGGACCAAGCTTGTCCCTCGGTCACAGGCCCACCTCCACGTACCAGTGTTAATTTGCCCCACTATCCTGGGCTCTTAACCTCTCATCAGCCCCTCCTCCAAAAATCATCATCTTGAAGATCAAGTTCCAGCAAACACTTTGACAATATATTCGAACTGTAGCACATGGGATGCAAGTGTGCCTGCCCTATGCCCTGGAAAACAAATGAATTTGATACTATCCACTTACAGAAACAAAACTCACCTTCAGAGGGGTGCTAGGGAATTCAGGCACCTGTACTGTATACTTTTGCTGACAGAGTCCTAGGCCTGTGACCCTGACCTGAACCCAAAGATAGCACTCCCCAATACTGTATTACCTTCTCATAACCTATACCTCAAAACCAGAGGGGGCTATAAAGCTTGAAAGACAGCTTTTCACAAGCTTTTCCAGAACCTTTTGAGCTCACTGAGGGAAGTTCAGACCCAACCCCTAGGGGTCCTTCCATGGACATAGGATTGGCTGAGATGCTCAGCTTGGTGGGGGGGGGGGGCGGGGGGGCGGGGATGACCCGATGTGAGGAGCCTCTACAAGGACTGACAGGGCTGAACAGACCAAATGGAAGCTGAGACACAGTAACTTGTAGATAAATAGTGCATGCTGGGCTGCAGGAGGTGGAGGCACATTGCCACATACAGACAAATAGCCCAGGCTAAGACCACAGGAGGTAAAGGCACACTGCCAAGTGTCCCTCTCTTAGTCTAGTCTCTGTTACTGTTTTCAGTTTTAAGGAGGAAAACGGTGTCATATTCCAAGCCCACATCGTGTTCCTTCTTGGCAACAAAGGCCCAAGACTCTGAGTTCACTGTGTGGCAGCCCCTTACATGTTATAAAACACTTCACTCTGTGGAGTCATTAGCCATGCCATCTCATCACAATGACATGCAGTTGAGAGCCTACCAATATTCTAAATTCCTGGCACAGTTACCTCGACCAACAAGAACAGTGAGCGTTCTCCCAGCCTCTGGAAATGTCAAGTGCTCTTGTCAGCTTTACAGAAGAGGCACACGTGCCACTTCGCAAATTGCAGCAGCTGAGGCTCTTTGAGGGTGCACTTCACTCCCTGGAGAGGGGGCTCTGCCAGCAAGATCCCTCACAGCATGGAGTCTTGCAAAGCTCTTTCTTGGTTGCCTCTCTGAGGTGGCTATCTGGGGGTCCCTCTCTAGAGGCACGTATTTTTGCAACAAAAGGAATAGTTAGTAGGCTTCTAATTTTATTGGTGGGAATTCTTTCTGGACAATGCCAAGATGTTAACATGACTTGCAGTGGACAGATGTTGCCTCCACTGTCTATGCAAAGTTGGGGTAGGACAGGAAGAGAGTCAATCCTCTTAGGGTTTCTATAGCTATGAAGAGATACCATGACCTTGGCAACTCTTGTAAAGGCAAACATTTACTCAGGATGGCTCACTTACAGTTTCAGAGGTTCAGTCCACTGTCAACATGGCAGGGAGTATGGTAGCATCCAGCAGACATGGTGCTGGCTACATCTTGGTCAGAAGGCAACAGGAAGTGTCTGAGGCTAGGTGGTATTCTGAGTATAGGAAATTTCAGAGCCCACCACCTCAGTGACATGCTTCTTTCGACAAGGCCATACCCACTCTAACAGAGTCACCCCACCTCCTAGTGTCACCACTCCTATGAGATTATGGGGACCAATTACATCTGAGTGCATGAGAACCATGTAGATAACCACTTCATGTGAGCCCTGGATCACTTAAGTCAAGCGACCTGGAGTGGAACCCAGAGAGACAGGACCATTCTTATCAGGTGGGCACCCAGCCCTAAGTAGAGACAAACACCCCAGTGGAGGCCAGGGGTTATTCCACTGTAGCCTGACTCAAAATTTTGGTCTGATTTTGGTCAAAAATGATTGTCTGAGCTGGGAGACAGATTACAACATTGTTTCCCCGGGGCTCTGGAATCCCCATGGGATGGTAAGAGACAACATGGCCCCTGAAGTTCTCTCCCTCAGTTATGGATCTATCAACAGATGACGAAGAACAGGACAGCAATATCGGTAGGACGCTGCTGAGTTCCCAAGGGAATCATATAAACCACTCTATAAATCGGGTGACAGACCCAAAGACAGTAGCAGAGCCCTCTGGGCAGCTTCCTAAAGGTGAGAGACCAGGAGGTGACGAGAGTTATTGCGTCACAGGGAATGCTCCAGGGAGATGGGGAATGGACTGCAAGGAGCAGTGTCCTGGTCCTCCCTGCTGAACCAACACAAGGTACTTACATGCAGAAGCAAGCCCCAACTAACAGCTGTTGGTGCAAAGGAAGCACGCCAGCAGGCCAGCATTAGGAGCAACCATATTCTCTAGTATCCAGGTGACCCTGCCCTGTACGAATGTCTCCCTCATCAGAGATTGCTCCATCACATGCTGGGATCTCTCCACCAAAGAAGGGTGACCAGGAGAATACATGACTGAGGTTCTCAGTCCCCTGCTATCTAATTCTGAGCTAGAATCACAGAGGCCACCAGAGCGTCCCCAATAGGTGGGCTTCTCCACTACCACAGACCTAATACTAGCGCTTCCTGGATTTTCTTCTCATTCCTCCTGTCTCACTCGAGTGTCTGGATCACCATTACTCAAAATAAATAACTCGCTGTTATAACTGTATCTCAGGCTCCCCTTAAGGCACCAACCAAGCATGACATATGATTTTAGCTTAAAACTATTTCTCAACTGTTACTGTAAGCTACTTCTTGACGAATGGAGAACAGACAAGTGAACAGTTTGGAATGGCTGATTCTACACGCTGATCTATTTTCCATGATTAAAAAATAGAAGGGGAAATGAGCATGGGATAGACCCCAGTCAGGTGCAGTGATGGCGAGTGAGTCTACGGGTGAAGTTAAAACTGCAGTTCTCAGTTGCAGTAAGAAGGGCTGCTTTCTTTTAAAGGACAGGGCTGGGAGTAACCAGAACCAAGAAGCCACCAAGGAAGCAGAGTCAGTCATAAAGGAAGTCCGAACAGACAGGGCAAGGTAGCCAGTAGCTCCTAACAGCCATGGGAGGCCTCCGCTGGGTATTAGGTTATAGGAATAACATCACGATGGCTGTAGCAGAGCCATCTCCTCTGAACTGAATCATTCCCTCCCAGAGGGGGATAGAGAAGCTGCTGCAACCTTGCAGGTTCACAGGCTCGAGGAAACTTACAGGATTCACAAGGCCCCTCCCCAAGGCTACACAAGCAGTAAGTAACTGCTGGGGCAGGTAAGACGTTCAGGGGGCTCAGCCCCCAAACTAGGGAGAGAGTTACAGTCTGGGGAGGGCTCTTCAGTGATGCCACTGCCTCTGAGGCACCCGAACTCCTGCAAGCAACCCCCATAATATCACCGTTCACTAAGTGGG